TATGTATCCTGTTAGTGGCAGGTCGTCTTTGGTGTTGTTGCTGCGTTTGCATTCATATTTACGTCTGTTGTCTGTGGCTGCAGGTGTCTACTAGTTGACATCTCTCTGTTAGCATCTGAGCTAGCAGTAGACACATTTTATGCTTGTTAGCCTTTGTTAGCATCCCATAGAGCGAGAGCTGTAAGGATATGTGTCTGTAGTCGGAGGTGCTACACTGTGGAACTACAAACTTGTTTGTCTCCTCATTCCAGGGTCCTCATGGGGTATATTCAGTAGTGTAGAGCATTCGGAATGTTGCAGATAGAAATGTAACATATAGAGCTGTAATCAAAGGCTCTCTTCAGCTGAAATGATTATCTATTTTACAGGACAGATAATAATGTTATATCATAGTCTACATTAATTTCTATCTGAACATTCTGCAAGTTGCATCGTCCTGAACAAGCCCCCAGTTTTTTTTCCTGGGATATAATGTCAGCAAAAATAATTAACGCCCTTGTTCCTATGTGATCGTGTGAGCTGGGCAGTAAGGCGGTGGCCTCTGGGAGTTCCTCTCATTGTCTTGTTACAGTGTGGTCAAACGTTCATAATGTTACACATAGAAATGTAATGAATACACTTCTTCTGACTGAACATTCTGTAACGTTACACACTTCTGAGCAGACCCCTGACCTTAAAAGGGGGAAAACGCACGTAATGGGTCTTCCTCCATAACATTTACATTTACATTTTAGTCATTTAGCAGACACTCTTATCCAGAGCGACGTACAGTTAGTGAGTGCATACATTATTTTTTATATTGGCCCCCCATGGGAATCGAACCCACAACCCTGGCGTTGCAAACGCAATGCTCTACCAACTGAGCTACATCCCTGCCGGCCATTCCCTCCCCTACCCTAATTGTGCGCCGCCCCATGGGTCTCCCGGTCGCGGCCGGCTACGACAGAGCCTGGATTCGAACCAGGATCTCTAGTGGCACAGCTAGCACTGCGATGCAGTGCCTTAGACCACTGCGCCACTCGGGATCCAGGGGCGCAAGTGAAACAGCCCTTGCTCAAGTTTCTGCGACTCAGAGAGAGTTGGAAGATCATTTCACAGTAATGTGAACTAATATCACAGGGGATTTTTGAAAGGTTAAACTTCTCCCTTATCCACTGCTGCCCAAATATGAACTTTAAGTGGTTATTCATCAGTCCTTTTTTCGTTTCTTGGTTTCTTTACTCCCCCACTGCTCAGTTAGCTTAGTTCCCTGATGTGTGGGTGCGTGTGTGTTTTATAATGACGATATAAGATTATAGGCCCGTGTTACTATAAAAGTCTCCTCCTTCTGCCTGACAGCTTCTGATGTTCCCCACTCAGGGAGCAAATTGAGTTTGCATGCCTTGATGACTCATTAGCAAAGCCTCTGTCTCGGTTCATGAATGACTGGATGTGTCTGGACGCACTTGGAGCTGTTTATATTCATATTTTCATATAGGTACTAATGTATTAAAAATTAAGTGATTGAAGATGAAGTGTGTGTGTGTGTGTGTGTGTGTGTGTGTGTGTGTGTGTGTGTGTGTGTGTGTGTGTGTGTGTGTGTGTGTGTGTGTGTGGGTGTGTGCGTGTGCGTGGACATGCGTTCTTATGTGTAATCTGTGTGTTATGATAAAGAGGTCAACCTTTTCATGAAGTAATTGAGATGCTCAGGAAATTGTATCAAACAAAATCAAGTGAGATATTTCTATTCACTATAGCACACTGTATAACCAACGAAACACTGCAAAAATACCGCATTGTAGCATTTATTATACCAGTGGTTCTCAACCATTTTTTAACTGTGGTACACCTTGATGGGCTAGAAAATTCTACGGCTCACCAAAAATGTCCCTATTAATTAATTTAGTGGTAATGACCTCTATCTCATCTGATCCATACTGAAAATCATATATTTTTAATTACAATGTTTTATGGATTACATAGGGTTTATTTGAACTACTTGCATAGTTCCTTACTCATGATGATTAATTTGTGTGTACCCCTTCAAGAAGGTAAAACAATTTTTGAGCTCCGGTACAATAGGTATTTCGTTTTGAACGGTTTGGGCTAGAGACAAGCGGTTATCTGCATTGTAAAGATGCAACCACGGACACATAGCCGAGCTCCGTTTGTTTCTATGTCATAGGATGTGGTACAGTTAAGTCTAATCAGACTTGCCTATGCTAATGGTTCTCACAGGTGAAGTAAAATTATACAAATTACATTCCTCATGATGCCTACCCCTCAAATGATACAAATTTAACAACAGCCTGAGCACACTGGACTTGAAACAACCATAAAGATGTAACCATATGCCATTCAATGTATTATCTGAGCGTCACTGGTGCTCCCAAGTCAAAATTCCAGGTGCATTCACTCACATTTATAAGTGAGTGTTCCAAAACAATTACACGATTAGGAAAGGTTTCGCGGCACACCTGAGTGTTCCTCAAGGCACACCAGTGTGTGGCGGCACACCGGTTGAAAACCACTGCATTATACTTTACAAATACTAATTAGTGAGAAGCGAGCAATGTAGGCTACATTTTAAATGGGCTGAAAGGCGGCATGAATATAATTTAAACTGTAATTAGCAATTAAGCTTTGCAAGATTTTCAGCTGCAAATTTGCTAAGCTCACTGAAATACTGTGCTATTGAACACAGCGCTCTTTGATGCTCACATTTAATCAAGACAGCCACAAAGAGCAACACACACACACACACACATACACACACAAACACACACATCCACACACTCCCATACCCATTGCTCTCTCTAACCCTTTTCTCTTGTTGTAGGATACCTGAGGGCAAAGTAGAAGAGGGAGGGGCCCTGGCTGTGGGGAGACTACGCTCCCTGGAGGAACAGCTGACCAGAGCCAAGCAGAAGATCCACAGCTTCCAGAGGCTGACCGGAGATGGTGAGCAGAACAGCAGGACCTGGGAAGGACATGTGGGGGGAGAGAAGAGGAAAGCTGGGGGAGGGTCCCAGATAGGAGGGGGGTGACCAGGTTTTACTGTACCTAAAGGATCAGTTTGAATGAAGTCAGATAGGCCAAGCTAATCCAATGCTATGATAGCAGCTAAAGTCAGCTGACAGGGAAAATGTGTGTGTGTTTGTGTGAATGCTTTATTTGTGCTTGCATCTGTGTGTGTCTACAAAGTGAGTGTCAGGAGGGTGGAGTAGTTGCTAGGTGAGTGGATATAAGTGTGAATGGAATAGAAGCAGTGTAAGTGTCACAGATAGAGAGAGCAAGCGAGAGAGAGAGAGAGAGGAGAGGAGAAGATTGAAGAGAGAGAGAAGAGAGGGAGATAGAGATAGATATTAGATAGATAGATGATCTAGCGAGCGCGAGAGAGAGAGTATGCGATCTATCGATTAGAGAGGTTGAGCTATAGAGTATATATAGAATTGAAATACGACACTACAACGTTTTTTGAAACCAAAAAAAATAAAAGTAGAAAATCCAATATCCTAGTTGGGAGTAAAAAACCCTTTGTGCCATATTAGCTGCATAATATGTAGTCTTCCTCGGGACCACCCCGTTAAGGGTACAGTCCGGTTGGCAACCGGACCAACCAGAGCAATAACATTTCTACCTGTGTCTTTCTCACTATTTCATTATTCATTCATTTCTTACCGTAGTGTCCTGTTAATTGTTACTACTCATTGAGTATTATTATTTTTCCTATTATGATCTATCTGCCTTATCATTTATTGGATATGTGTCTATATGTTTGCTTTGGCAATGTATGTGGGAACACTTTCCATACCAATAAAGCCATTTGAATTTAATTGAGAGAGAGAGAGAGAGAGAGAGAGAGAGAGAGAGAGAGAGAGAGAGAGAGAGAGAGAGAGAGAGAGGCGGAGAGTAGAGAGAGAGAGCGAGAGAGACAAAATGCCACTCAGGACAGAACATGTCATCACGATACGACAAAGGAGGGAAACTGCATTTTCATTCTGAGAGAGAGAGAGAGAGAGAGAGAGAGAGAGAGCGAGAGAGAGAGAGAGAGAGAGAGAGCGAGAGGAGAGAGAGAGAGAGAGAGAGAGAGAGAGAGAGAGAGAGTGGAGGGAAGGACAGGGTCAGGGCTCTTGTTTTCTGCTGCAGGGGAAGCTAAAAATACCATCCAGAACCATCCAGAACCCAAAAAGGGAAAAAGGGAATAGATAGAAGAATAATTAAAACAACCCCAAAACTTTTTTTAAAAACCCCCCCCCCCCCCAAAAAAGTGAAATCCAATATCTATTGGGAGAAAAAAACCCTTTGTCCATATTACTGCAAATATTCCCTTCCTGCAAAACCCCCTGGGGAAAAACCGGTGAACGAAAAACCAAGCAATAAACTTTCTCCTGTGCTTTCTCCTATTTCATTATTCTTCATTTCTTCCCGTAGTGTCCTTTTTAATTGTTACACCCCTTTTGAGTTTATTTTTCCTATTATGACTTTCCTTTCATTTTTTGGGATATTGTCTATATTTTGCTTTGGAAAGTTTGGTAACATTTTTTCCATCCCAAAAAAGCCATTTGAATTTAATTGAGAGAGAAGGAGAGAGAGATGAGACGAGAGAAGAGAGAGAGAGAGAGAGAGAGAAAAGAAAAGAGGAGAAAAAAGGAGGAGAAAAAGATAGAGTGGAGAAAAAGCCCATCCACTCGACAACAGATCACGATACGACGAGATACTGCATTTTAAGATATGAATGAGAGAGAGATATCTAGACGATTCGCTGAGACTCGAGCGATCCGAGATCCGCTAGCCTCTTGCGATCCTCTCTATCTCGCTTCTAGCGAGATCTTTGTTGTTTGCAGCCCTGATGACACAATACGAAAGAGCATACTTTTCCTCTCTCCTATTTAAGGCCATTATTCCTTTCCCTTACTTTACTGTTCTTGACAGTAACCACATAACCACCTGGCTCTTCCTCCATGTGGGTCACTCACTTCCTTGTTGCACTGTAGGCTCACCATAGACATTCTATTGATATGAGGCTGGCTGGGTGGAGTGTGGTGTTCCATCCTGTATGGACAAAACAGATGCGCTAAAACTGTTATGATCAGAGCAACTCCTTGGGAGGGAGGTTGAGAGGCAGGGATTGAGAAAACAGACGATCCAGTCTTCTCCTGAAGCTCCCATGTGTTCAATGACAGTTGTACCTGTGCTTTTTGCTCATAATTGTTGTTCTATCCGCCCTCCCTCCTCCCCCCTCCTCCCTCCACCATCCCCACCACCCCTCAGGTCCAGGCCCCACCCAGGAGGAGCTGAGGCGGAGGGTAGAGAACGGTGTGAGGGAGCTCTGGTACTTTGTCCGCAGCGAGGTGAAGAACCTGGGTCACGTGGAGTCCGGGGAGAGGCCCAGACAGGCTGACACCCTGCTACAAGACCTGGGACACCAGCAGAGGTCAGAGAAACACACACACACACAGAGACAGATGCACATGCACACATACAGTACATAAACACAAACATGCACGCATGCACTCACACATCTTAAAAGCCTTCCACAGGCTGCCCCCCCCCCTCCCCCCACACATACAGAAACGCACACACACATTTCCTTTCCACTCCTCTCTCCCCTCCACTCTTTCTTCCTTTGTGTTGGCGTAGAGCTCACAGAGAGCAGGGAGCGGTTGAGACATGAGACACACGTTTACGTAGTTGATGGGCCCTGTAAGACTGCAGTGCACCCCAGCCCTCTCTCCCCTCCTCCCTCCCTCCTTCTCTCTGCCTCCTTGTTGATTTATTGCATACTTGTAAATGGGGCAATAATTGCCCACCAATTGGAGCGGGTAATCAGTATTCAGGGACGCTCAGCTCAGCCGCCCGTCAACCCCTGTCTCCAGCCTGCAGCTTCGAAAGTCTGCATCCGCGGCAAGCGCCGGGCCGAGGAAGCCCCCACAAGCCACACAGAACACGCCACACAGAGAAGGAGATGGAGCATGCACACAGAAATCCACACACACACACATATACAACCAACCAAAGAAGCCCCCCTCTCGTCTCCGAAAGCCCACAGGGTCAGTCTGTCTATTCTTTCAACTAAATATTATTCAGTAACTGGTTCCACAGCCTTTTTTTTTGTTTACTCAACTCTTTGGTCAAAGTGTTACCTGAATTTAAAATGTTTAGTTGGCCCAGACTTAGCTCCAACATGAGAACACTTAAAATTATGTGTTTTCTCAAATTGTCTCATATGTTCATTCAACTAGAAAGTATTATTTGGGCATCTTACCTAAAAAAAGGTTAGGAACTAGTTACACACACACACACAGTGCTTTTAACATACAATGTTTTCAACTTACATATTTGACACACGTTGACATACATCCCAGCAAATCGGGAACAATCCCAGAACATTACCCAAGATTCCCATTAAGTTCTAGTTAGGGTTTTATCTGACATTAGGATGATAACATCCCAAAAACATTCAAAGAATGTTTTGATAACATATTTTTTTAAATGTTTTAATTAAAATATATGCTTGGAATTTTCTCCTAATATTCACTAAAATATTATGCACAACATCTGTAACAACCATCACAGAACATTCCTCAAAAGTTCACATTAGATTTCCAGGTAATGTAATAACACAATGAACCAGTAATGTTTTCTCATCAAAACAAAATTGGTTCTGTGAAAGTTCCCAGAACATAACACAAAAACTGTCCAGTCGTGCTGAAGATTATAGAATGTTTGCCTGATGTTGCAAGAACGTTCCTAGAACACATTTAAAGCTGCAATACTGTATGTATCACGGCTCAGGCTAAGACCCAGATGCAGACGCAGGAAGCAGATAGTACTAGTTTCAGAGTTTACTATAGTTCAAGGGGCAGGCAAAAGGTAAGGCAAGCAAAGAGTCGTAATCCAAATCGGAGTCAGGCAGGATCAGGACAGGCAGAAAGGTCAGAACTGGGAAGACTAGGAAAAGCAAAAACTAGCTCACAGGAAATATGGGAACACGCTGGTAGGACTTGACAGGACAAGACGAACTGGCAACAGACAAACAGAAATCACTGGTATAAATACACAGGGGATAATGGGGACACCTGGTGGGGGGTGGAGACAAGCACAAGACAGGTGAAACAGATCAGGGCGTGACAGTACGTGAGTAATAGATCTGTCATTCTCAATGAAAGCATGTCTAAGAAGCGGTAGATCTCTTCTACTGTACAGTGGATTGTGAAAGTATTCACCCCCCTTGGCATTTTTCCTATTTTGTTGCCTTATAACCTGGAATTGAAATTGATTTTTTGGGGGTTTGTATCATTTGATTTACACAACATGCCTACCACTTTGAAGATGCAAAATAAAAATTTTTGTGAAACAAACAAGAAATATGACAAAAAAACAGAAAACTTGAGCTTGCATAACTGTTCACCCCCCCCCAAAGTAAAAACTTTGTAGAGCCACCTTTTGCAGCAATTACAGCTGCAAGTATCTTGGGGTATGTCTCTATAAGCTTGGCACATCTAGCCACTGGGATGTTTGCCCATTCTTCAAGGCAAAACTGCTCCAGCTCTTCAAGTTGGATGGGTTCCGCTGGTGTACAGCAATCTTTTAGTCATACCACAGATTCTTAATTGGATTGAGGTCTGGGCTTTGACTAGGCCATTCCAAGACATTTAAATGTTTCCCCTTAAACCACTCGAGTGTTGCTTTAGCAGTATGCTTAGGGTCATTGTCCTGCTGGAAGGTGAACCTCCGTCCCAGTCTCAAATCTCTGGAAGACAGAAACAGGTTTCCCTCAAGAATTTCCCTATATTTAGCCGATAAAAAACATGGTGTTCTTGGGGTAATGAGAGGTGTTGGGTTTGCGCCAGAATAGTCTCATCTGACCAGAGTACCTTCTTCCATATGTTTGGGGAGTCTCCCACATGCCTATTGGTGAACACCAAACGTGTTTGCTTATTTTTTTCTTTAAGCAATGGCTTTTTTCTGGCCACTATTCCGTAAAGCCCAGCTCTGTGGAGTGTACGGCTTAAAGTGGTCCTATGGACAGATACTCCAATCTCCGCTGTGGAGCTTTGCAGCTCCTTCAGGGTTATCGTTGGTCTCTTTGTTGCCTCTCTGATTAATGCCCTCCTTGCCTGGTCCGTGAGTTTTGGTGGGCGGCACTCTCTTGGCAGGTTTGTTGTGGTGCCATATTCTTTCAATTTTTTAAATAATGGATTTAATGGTGCTCCATGGGATGTTCAAGTTTCTGATATTTTTTTATAACCCAACCCTGATCTCCACAACTTTGTCCCTGACCTGTTTGGAGAGCTCCTTGGTCTTCATGGTGCCGCTTGCTTGGTGGTGCCCCTTGCTTAGTGGTGTTGCAGACTCTGGGGCCTTTCAGAACAGGTGTATATATACTGAGATCATGTGACAGATCATGTGACACTTAGATTGCACACAGGTGGACTCGGGGCCGAAACTGATTGAATCGGCCCGGAATCGGGTGTCGGACTCGGCCCGGAACATCGGGCCATTTCCGTCTACCGGAATTCAGCTGACTTTGCCGGCATCTTACCAGAATCAACCCAGAAGCAGGCCGATGCAAATTTAAATGAATGTATACAAGATTACCCAAATTAGTAATTTTTTATATTACTATTATACATAAAAATATACCCGTACACAAAGTTTTAATTTTATACCCATATCCAATTGGTAGTTACAGTCTTGTTCTATCGCTGCAACTCCTGTACGGCCTCGGGAGAGGCGAAGGCTGGTTGCAACACAGACGGGTATCAAACCAGCATCTGTAGCAACGCAGCTTGCACTGCAATGCAGTGTCTTAGACCGCTGCGCCACTCGAGAGGCCCCATCCACAAAGTTTTTAATGCTGATCAATTGCCTTGCACAAAGTATCAAAATACAAAAATACTACTTAAAGACTCTTAAAGAATTTATCTTAAATGTACATTTTATTTTTTGATCACAGAAACAATGAGAAAATAGGGAAAAATAAATAAATAATGAAATGTTAATTATATAAAGCAGCCTGTGTAATCATCTGTCAGAGAGTAGCCACTATCAGCCCGAGACCCAAGTAAAACATTTGGGCCAGATAACTCACACCGGAATCGGCCCGAGCTCCAAGTAATACATTTGGACCAGATAACTCACACCGGAATCGGCCCGAGCTCAATCCCTGCACCCTAGCCATAAGTAATACTGCCGAAGGCGGCCCAGATGACGTCGGCCGAGTCTGACTCTCAGCCGAGTGCCCCAAATCTCAGCCGGAATCGGCCCAGATCCACAGTGCTAGCTGGGTTTGAAGGGGGTATAGTAGTAGGTGCCAGAAGCACCGGTTTGTGTCAACAACTGCAACGCTGCTAGGTATTTTACGCTCAACAGTTTCCCGTGTGTATCAAGAATGACCCACCACCCAAAGGACATCCAGCCAACTTACACAACAGTTTTACATTTTAGTCATTTAGCAGACGCTCTTATCCAGAGCGACTTACAGTTAGTGAGTGCATACATTATTTAATTTAAATTTTTCATACTGGCCACCTGTGGGAATCGAACCCACAACCCTGGCGTTGCAAACGCCATGCTCTACCAGCTGAGCTACATCCCTGCCGGCCATTCCCTCCCCTACCCTGGATGACGCTGGGCCAATTGTGCCCCATGGGTCTCCCGGTCGCAGCCGGCCACGACAGAGCCTGGATTCGAACCAGGATCTCTAGTGGCACAGCTAGCACTGCGATGCAGTGCCTTAGACCACTGCGCCACTCGACTATGGGAAGCATTGGAGTCAAGATGAGCCAGCATCCCTGTGGAACGCTTTCGACACCTTGTAGAGTCCATGCCCTGACGAATGCAGCTCATCTATTAGTTTGCTAATATCTGATCAGACACATTTAGCATGCTATAGCATGTACATTTCAACTACAGAAACAAACAAGCGTCATAGATAAACAATCTATCATATGTACCACTGCATCAAATCCTAATTACAATCACATTCCTCAATAACATGTGAGTCAACCAAACTTTTAAACTCCTCCAAGGAAACAAGATCCTGGAGTTTCAAGCTGGTCTGGAGAGAATTCCAAGACCACAGAGCTGAGGAGCTAAAACGCTTTTTGCCATGATCCGTTCTGATTATAGGAACCGTAAAAGTAAGTAGGAGTGAGACCGTAACTGGTATTTATTTTATGACCTTATCAAATAAGAACAGAGATAAAGTGGCAGTTTTCCCAAAATGGCCTTAGATCATAGTATACCAATGTTGAAGCCTATGTACTGTAGAGTCAACGAAGACCAGACAATCAGCTCTTTTCTGGCCTCCAGAGAAAAATGAGCCTTATGCCAGTAATAAAACCTCTTCTCAACCTGATTTTCTTTACCAGGTTCTCAACATGATTAGTGAAGATCAGCTTCTCATCCACCCAAACTCACAGATATGTGTACGTCTTGACTTGCTCTATGGAATTCCTTTCCAAAGTAGTAATGACATGGTTTTCAGAGTGTTTAGTATTGGAAAATACCATGTATTTTGTTTTAGAGGAATTCAGAACAAGCTTCAAATTGTACAGATTCTGTTGAATGATGTTAAAAGCAGTTTGAGCTTTTTCAAAAGCCAAAGTCAAACTCCTGCCACTTGAATAGAGAACAGTGTCATTCGCATTAAACATTTACATCAGCTGTCTCAATATGTCTCCCAATGTTGTTGATCTAGATAATAAACTACAGGGGACCTAAAATGGATCATTGAGGCACACCTGAGTGCAGCTCTATGATGTCAGACTTACAACCATCTGCCTTAACACACTGGGTTCTATTTGACAGGTAGTTCACAAACCACTCTAGAGCATGACCAGTAATCCCAATACACTTCCGTTTCTGCACCAATACAGTATGGTCCACAGTGTCAAATGCCGTTGACAAATCTATGAGCATATCTAATACATGTACACTGTTATTATCCAGAGCACAGTGAATATCATCCAAAACCTTCAATGTTGCTGTAACAGTGCTGTGGCTTGTCCTGAAACCTGATTGCATAACACTCAAAATATTGTTTTCCTGGAAGTTGGCCTTAAGCTGCTTATTGACTAGGAACTCCAATACTTTTGCCAAAACAGACCATTTTGATATGGGCTGATAGTTATTCAGTAAAGTGGGGTCACCTCCTTTCAAAAGAAGTAGGACAAATGCTGATTTCCACAACTTGGGGATTTCATTACATTTTAGGGTGAGGTTAAAAATGCATGTTAAAGGAGGAGCAATGATTACATTTGTCTGCAGATAATTGTAATAGGCAGGGGTCTAGGTCATCAGGGCCAGGGGATTATTTTTACATCAATTGCTTTCACAGCTCTACGCACCTCTGAGACAGAGAAGGGGATCATGGAGAAGGAGTGGATGGGAGTTGTGAGAGAAGAATTAACATGTAACATGTTTACCTGCTTTGTTTAATATTAATAGTTAACAATTATATACTGTTCTACTAATGCTGTGTTTTTGTAAATGGATGGTTTCTACTGCTGCTCACTGCAGCTAGTCTAAGCGTGTGGTTGTCACGTTGTATAATGATTAGAAGACAGGAGCTGGAAAACGTATTAGGGGTTTTATTTACTCCACCCAACACAAGGTACGTCATGAAAAACCACGGGGACGAAGCCCAAAACAAACACGTATATAAACTCAGCAAAAAAAGAAATGTCCCTTTTTCAGGACCCTGTCTTTCAAAGATAATTCGTAAAAATGCAAATAACTTCACAGATCTTCATTGTAAAGGGTTTAAACACTGTTTCCCATGCTTGTTCAATGAACCACAAACAATTAATGAACATGCACCTGTGGAACGGTCGTTAAGACACTAACAGCTTACAGACGGTAGGCAATTAAGGTCACAGTTATGAAAACTTAGGACACTAAAGAGGCCTTTCTACTGACTCTGAAAAACACCAAAAGAAAGATGCCCAGGGTCCCTGCTCATCTGTGTGAACGTGCCTTAGGCATGGTGCAAGGAGGCATGAGGACTGCAGATGTGGCCAGGGCAATGAATTGCAATGTCCGTACTGTGAGATGCCTAATACAGCACTACAGGGAGAAAGGACGGACAGTTGATTGTCCTGGCAGTGGCAGACCACGTGTAACAACACCTGCACAGGATCGGTACATCCGAACATCACACCTGCGGGACAGGTACAGGATGGCAACAACAACTGCCCGAGTTACACCAGGAACGCACAATCCCTCCATCAGTGCTCAGACTGTCCACTATAGGCTGAGAGAGGCTGGACTGAGGGCTTGTAGGCCTGTTGCAAGGCAGGTCCTCACCCGACATCACCAGCAACAACGTCACCGATGGGCACAAACCCACAGTCGCTGGACCACACAGGACTGGCAAAAAGTGCTCTTCACTGACGAGTCGTGGTTTTGTCTCACCGGTGGTGATGGTCGGATTCGCATTTGTCGTCAAAGGAATGAGCGTTACACCGAGGCCTGTACTCTGGAGCGGGATCAATTTGGAGGTGGCGGTGTGTCACAGCATCATCGGACTGAGCTTGTTGTCATTGCAGGCAATCTCAACGCTGTGCGTTACAGGGAAGACATCCTCCTCCGTCATGTGGTTTTCTTCTTGCAGGCTCATCCTGACATGACCCTCCAGCATGACAATGCCACCAGCCATACTGCTCGTTCTGTGCGTGATTTCCTGCAAGACAGGAATGTCAGTGTTCTGCCATGGCCAGCGAAGAGCCCGGATCTCAATCGCATTGAGCACGTCTGGGACCTGTTGGATCGGAGGGTGAGGGCTAGGGCCATTCCCCCCAGAAATGTCCGGAAACTTGCAGGTGCCTTGGTGGAAGAGTGGGGTAACATCTCACAGCAAGAACTGGCAAATCTGGTGCAGTCCATGAGGAGGAGATGCACTGCAGTACTTAATGCAGCTGGTGGCCACACCAGATACTGACTGTTACTTTTGTGGAACTTGTTCAGTTTATGTCTCAGTTGTTGAATCTTGTTATGTTCATACAAATATTTACACATGTTAAGTTTGCTGAAAATAAACGCAGTAGACAGTGAGAGGACGTTTCTTTATTTGCTGAGTTTATCTCCTAGATATAGGACAGACATGTCAAAATCTTATTCCTTACGATTGATTTTTTTGACTGGCTTTTTTGCCATTTATGAATGTGTTATTCAATGCGTTTCTATGGGCTATAGTAGTAAAGGCCAAATTCAATATTTTATCAAATATTTTATATATATATATATTCTTTATACCTAAAGGGGTCCTAAAATTTAAAATTAAATAGCTAAATGATCCACGGTATGACTATCTTAAAACAAGTCCATATGTCAGCTTAGAACCCCCCCAACGGCTTAGACTCTTAAGAATTTTAAAGAATAAGAAACCAGAATGGAATACAAACACCTAATTATTAGAACAGCATTTAATCATACAAACCAAACCATATTTTTACACTTCATATGTGGACAATCTGTACATGTGGGGTTTGAACCTGCAATTTTTGGTTCCCAAGGCAGGTCTTTCATCCTGTTCGCCACCAGGAAAGCTCTCTTACCAGTCTTGCTTTTTCAGTATGGCACTATTGTCAATCAGGAATTCCATGTTTCCTTTTTAGCCTTCTTAGACATAACTAACCCAGAGAAATACTGGTAAGTAGGTTATTCACCATCACCATTCTCTTTATATGCTTCGTACTTCTGGGCCCATATTTACAAGGTATCCAAGACTATGAGTGCTGATCTAGGATCACTTTTGCTTTTCAGATCATGAAAAATAAGACAGGGGGGACCATATCAAGCGTCTCAAAGTAGGAATTTTATTGGGTGGTTTTCTAAAGTTAAACAGTCCATTTTTACACAATGTTAAATTTTTTACAGTTAGTCTAAATTCTACATTTCTGACTGGATTTATAAATCTGGATGAAATAAAGACATACTCTCTTTTATACTGAACAAAAACATAAATGCAACATGTAAAGTGTTGGTCCCATGTTTAATGAGCTGAAATAAATGATCCCAGAAATATTCCAAATGCACAAAAAGCTTATTTATGTAAAAAAAAAGATTAAGATATTTGTTTACATCCCTGTTAGTGAGCATTTCTCCTTTGCCAAGATAATCCATCCACCTGACAGGCATATTAAGAAGCTGATTAAACAGCATGATCATTACACAGGTGCACCTTGTGCTGTGCACAATAAAAGGCCACTGTAAAATATGCAGTTTTGTCACACAATGCCACAGATGTCTCAAGAGCTGTTGCCAGATAATTGAATATTAATTTCTCTAACATAAGCTGCCTCCAACGTTGTTTTAGAGAATTTGGCACGTTGTTTTAGAGAATTTGTTCGGCCAACTGGGCGAACGGTTTGCTGATGTCAATGTTGTGAACAGAGTGCCCCATGGTGGCGGTGGGGTTATAGTATGTGCATAAGGTATGGACAATGAACATTTTATCAATGGCAATTTGAATGCACAGAGATACTGTGACGAGATCCTCGAGGCCCATTGTCGTGCCATTCATCTGCCGTCATCACCTTATGTTTTTCAGCATGATAATGCACGGCCCCATGTCGCAAAGATCTGTACACAATTCCTGGAAGCTGAAAATGTCCCAGTTCTTCCATGGCCTGCAAACTCACTAGACATGTCACCCATTGAGCACGTTTGGAATGCTCTGGATCGACATGTATGACAATGTGTTCCAGTTCTTCGCACAATATCCAGCAACTTCGCATAGCCATTGAAGAACAGCCTGATCAACTCTACGCGAAGGAGCTGTGTAGCACTGCATGAGGCAAATGGTGGTCACACCAGATACTGACTGGTTTTCTGATCCACGCCCCTCGCTTGTTGTTAAGGTATCTGTGAACAAAAGATGCATATCTGTATTCCCAATCATGTGAAATCCATAGATTAGAGCCTAATGATTTTATTTCAATTGACTGATTTTCTTATATGAACTGTAACTCATTAAAATATTTGAAATTGTTGCATGTTGCATTTACATTTTTGTTCAGTATAGTAGATTATACCTGAGCCTCAATATCACTCTTTTTCTTTTCTCAAAAGAAATGTGATTAAAGAATACACGGGATTGAATCTGCAATCTCCATTATTATTCTGTGCCACCATTGGATAGCTGTTCCAACACTGTTCCCACAACCTAATTAAATGTTCTGGGGAACCTTTAAAGAATTCAGAAAGGCTGATCTGTCAACATTCTTGCAACATCAAACGAATGTTTTGTGCACCCTGATAGAAACATTATATAAATGTTAGCACAACTGGACAGTTTTAGTGTTTTGGGAAACTATCTATTTTCATGTCCCCACAATGTTCCCACAACCTAAAGAAACATTATGGGAACCATTAAAGAACTGATTAAATGTGTTCTGGGAATGGTCATGTGATATCAGGTGAATGTTTTTTGCAACCTAAAAAAAACATTGTAGAATCATCCACACAACTGGACAGTTTTTGTGTTTTGGGAACATGTCTTTTGTGATATCCCCACAATGTTTTCAGCAGACTTTTCCCACAACCTAATGAAACATTCTGTGAACCTTTAAAGAACAGATTAAACGTGTTCTAGGAACTTACTTGTAACATCAGGTAAATGTTTTATACAAACATTCTATAATCATCATTACGACTGGACAGTTTTTGTGTTATGAGAACATTTGCCGCAACCTAAGGAATGTTCTGGGATTCTTCACTTTTGGTTTGCTGGGATGATTACATAGTGCATGTTTATTTATACAGTAATTCATACTCAACATGTCCTTACCTTTGAACAGATTGGTTCACAGCATTCCAATCTTCCTGCTACGCCACCCTGTGTGTTTAAAGAACTGAGTTCACCTGTATTGCTACACTTTGCACTTGAAAGTAAATCTCAGCTCTGTTAAAAGTACATTCAGGAAAAACTATTTTATTTATCATAGTGATTAAGGAGTAACATTAAAACAGAGTAATATGCCCCACCAACATTAGACAATTATACAGAAAAACCTAAAATACTTAAATAAGTAAATCAGTTAAATTAGTTAAGATGTCCAAGTAATAATGTCTAGTTCAGTGACCATATGAGACAAGTTGAGCAAACTCATCATTTGTAATTGACTTTACAGTTTTCTCAAATTGGAGCTAAGTTTGGGTCAACATTTTTTGTTTTGTTTCGGTAATACTTGGAACCAGTTACTTGATAATAATTTGTTGAAACAACTAGATTTGTATTTTTTATTTTTTATTTACAGTGGATGTTAACTCAGTGCCTACCGGAGAATTGTAGGTCTCTCACAGGGAGACTGTAAAGGAGTTTGACATGGCTTCATATAAAACACACATGTTGTGGTTTAAGATTAAATATGGATGCATGAGCAATGATTATGTCTTGCCAGAGAACGTGTGTGTGTGTGTGTGTGTGTGTGTGTGTGTGTGTGTGTGTGTGTGTGTGTGTGTGTGTGTGTGTGTGTGTGTGTGTGTGTGTGTGTGTGTACACGTGTATGTGTGTGTAAGTGTGCGAGTGTGCTTGTGCTTGTGCTCAGGAGGTTTCCCACCCTGAGGATGTGACTGATTTGGGTCACTGAAATTAATTGAGCCATGCTGGTTTTCAGAGATGGGAAACTGCTATATCTGTGTGTCTGTGCTATGTAGCACACTGGACTTATGGCTATATTTGTCTGTCTCTTTTTGTGCATCTGTGTGTCTGTGTGCGTGTGTATGTGTGCGTGCGTGTGTGTGTGTGTGTGTGCAGGTCTATCATGACAGACCTGTACTACCTCAGCCAGGCTGACGGAGTGGGAGACTGGAGAGTTAAGGAAGCCAGGGACCTGTCTAACCTGGTGCAGAGCAGGATCACCTACCTACAGGTACACACACACACATGTATGTAATAACGTACACACAAACACATGTAGGAACACACAGACATAGACACGAACACAACATGCACACACAGACACAGAAACGAACACAACACACACACACACTCTTTCTCACACCTGCTCTTCTCTACCTAACACAAGCCAAACCTGTCAGAATCACCATAGATGAAACACATCGTGTTTAAAGGTCTGACTGCTGTCTGATGCCTGTATTTCATATATCCTGTCAAACACACACACACACAGACACACACACACACTACCCTCCGACCATACCCACTTTCTGTCATCCCCTCATATACCCTCCACCCCCAGTGACCCAGGAGTCTCCCCTCAGCCCTCCTCCCTTCCCCAGTGTGGGTGCAGCAGGCCTGGGGTGGGGCTGTGCGGCACTGGGCCCTGCAGCATTAATGAGCCTTGATGTTTGATGAAGAGAGCCAGAGTGAGTGTTACTGGGCGGAGACGCCATGGCTAACAGCTGCTGTCACCACCGCTGAGGGATCACACAGCTCCACTGGCCCCCATCACTAATTCATCACCCACACACAGTCCTCACAGGCAGGTGCACACACACACACACACTTAGGGAGCAAGGGACCCCCCTCCCCCTTCTACCTCTTACACTTCTGTCAGTAGCATCAATCCCAGGTCTACACACACACACACACACACGGACGTGCATGAGCACACATACACCCTTCCCTCACCCCACCCCACCAACCTCAGCCCCAGCGCCCTTCGGTCCCTGGCCCGGCTGACTCCATCAATGTGTCTGTCTGTCTGTCTGTCTGTCTGTCCCCCTGCGCCCTCTTCAATGAGAATACAGTGGCCTTTACATGGCCTTTGTTCAGTGTCACACAGTACCACCTTCATTGTCACAGACACAAACACAAACACACACAGTACCTCCTCCATTGTCAGCCTTCCACTTTAACTTCTGCTTCTATAGCACATCATCAGTTCTGAACCAGCTGATTGTAGGTCATATATAATAGGAGTCACCCTCTCTCGCTCTCTATCTCTCTCTTTCACACTCACACACACACACACACACACACACACACACACACACACACACACACACACACACACACACACACACACACACACACACACACACACACACACACACAAACAAACACATTTTCAGTCTACTGTATTTTAACTAGAAAAAGCAGTTTTTTAAGGGCTACTTAACCTATAGTAGTAAATGTCAGCCTTGGTATTTCACTCGCCCCATAATTACCATTGAACTGTGTCTCCTAGCACATTTGAATTGCATGAATCTGTCATTTTTAAACAACCAAAGTAGTTCAGAGCTTGTGCGCTCATGGTTGTTTGTCGTTCTGATTTAACGCCATGCTCCAAAAGAGATACTCTGGGGCTCGCTGGTGTAAAACTGACTTTCAAGTCTTTGTTGTCGAGACTCGCGACAACACACCAGATTATTAGTATTTAAATAAAATGTAGTTTACAAAAGTTCAATCAGGAAGACTGGTCTGAATGCTTGTTTAACTTCATCCAGTAAGCCTAACATAATTCACTTTGTTTCCAATTCTACTGGCATAGTGGGAATGAATACAAATGTACAAAAGTATGTGGACACCCCTTCAAATTAGTGCTGTTATTGTGAAGTGGAAACGTATAGGAGCAACAATGGCTCAGCCGCGAAGTGGTATGGGACTAACTCACAGAACGGGACCACCGAGTGCTGAAGCGCGTAGCATGTACAAATCTTCTGTTCTCGGTTGCAACACTCACTACCGAGTTCCAAACTGCCTCTAGAAGCAACGTCAGCACAAGAACTGGTTGTCGGGAGCTTCATGAAATGGGTTTCCATGGCCGAGCAGCCGCACACAAGCCTAAGATCACAATGCGCAATGTCAAGCGTCGACTGGAGTGGTGTAAAATCGCCACCATTGGACGCAGTGGAAACGCGTTCTCTGGAATGATGAATCACGCTTCACCGTCTGGCAGTCCGATGGATGAATCTGGTTTGGCAGATGCCAGGAGAAAGCTACCTGCATAGTGCCAACTGTAAAGTTTGGTGGAGGAGGCTGTTTTTCATGGTTCTGGACCCTTAGTTCCAGTGAAGGGAAATATTTACGCTACAGCATACAATGACATTCTAGACGATTCTGTGCTTCCAACTTTGTGGCAACAGTTTGGGGAAGGCCCTTTCCTGTTTCAGCATGACAATTCCCCCATGCACAAAGAGATGTCCAAACAGAAATGGTTTGTCGAGATCAGTGTGGAAGAACTTGACTGCTCAAAAACCTGACCTCAACCCCATCGAACACCTTTGGGATGAATTGGAACGCCGACTGTGAGCCAGGCCTAATCGCCCAACATCAGTGCCCGACCTCACTAATGCTCTTGGGGCTGAATGGAAGCAAGTCCCCACAGCAATGTTCCAACATCTAGTGGAAAGCCTTCCCAGAAGAGTAGAGGCTGTTATAGCAGCAAAGGGGGGACCAACTCCATATTAATGCCCATGATTTTGGAATGAGATGTTTCGACGAGCAGGTGTCCACATACTTTTGGTCATGTAGTGTATCATCAGCATAGGGTCTTGCCAACCTTAAGGCCCATCATTGGAACTCCTTTCCCCCAGCGGAGGTGTTTCAATGTCAAAAGCCCCGCATAGGGCTACCTGCCATCAGATGAAAGCCCCGCATAGGGCTACCTGCCATCACATCATCTGAGACAAGGCCATTCACCAAACGATTTAATAAAATGTCATATTGCATTCCATCTTTGTTGTTTATTCAGTAAAGCCTGTACTCAATTGAACTGTAAGTGTGATACCTATGGGGCCAATATGGAGAACAGGAGCGATATTTACCTCAAACACACACACACACACAGAGAGAGATTCCTCAAAGGAAATCTTCCCAGTGGCTTGTTTGTTGCTTCGTTGACATCTGCTTGTGTTGTTCAGGTTATTATTGAACGCCAGCGGTAATACATTTGGAACATGAAGGAACATTAGCTCTCCTCTAGTTTTTAAACAGACAAGCGGTGTGATAACGTTAGCGCTTGCCAGACGCCTTGCCGCCATGATTACCGCCAACCAGCTTCAGCTGTGACAGCCTAATGAGCAAAACACTCGCATTGCAGAGTAAATTGCTATTTAGAAAGATGTTGGCACAAGTGGGTGCAGAGTGAGGTGAAGGGGCCACCAAAGATGGTAGATAAATGAAGATAGTTCACTCAGGCCATTTACCATTGAATTTTTTTTTTGTTCCTGTCTAAAGGGGGTGGCTCTTCCATAGACACCAATGCTATAGCAGCTGGGTCTGGTCTACTTAGTTTATTGACTTCCATTGAAACAGGAAAAATTAGGGAGTGGGATATTTTGCTTCCTCTTCTGTCTCTGTGGGGCACGACGCGGCGCCGCATGGCATCATTTTGCCACCGCTCGTCTGATGTGGTGTAGTTGAAAACGGTGGCATGGTCTCACATTGTGATTTACAGGTGCCATTTTGAGAGAATGCTTTATTTCTCTCGCTCAGATTTTGGGAGATCTCTTTTTGTGCCTAATTTTCTTATAAACGGGGATGTCATGACAGACAGAGAGGGGAAGAGAGTGAAAGAGAGCGAGAGAGAGCAAGAGGAGAGCTATAGGCTAAATGTGATATCATAAGTTAGAGAACAACGCTCAAAAAGCTATTTGGGCCCCCCAGAGGTCAAGTGGTCAAACGTATGTTCTAACACCCATATGTCTCTCTTTCCCCCATCCCCCTCTGTCGTTTTCTTCACTCCCTCTGTCTCTTTCTCCCTCTCATACTCCCTGTCTCTACCTCTCCCTCCCCCCTCACCAGAACCCCCAGGACTGCAGCAAGGCCCGTAAGCTGGTGTGTAACATCAACAAGGGCTGTGGCTATGGCTGCCAGCTGCATCACGTGGTCTACTGCTTCATGATCGCCTATGGCACCCAGCGCACCCTCATCCTGGAGTCCCACAACTGGCGCTATGCCACGGGTGGCTGGGAGACCGTCTTCCACCCCGTCAGCAACTCCTGTAGCGACCGTACTGGGGTGTCTACAGGACACTGGTCAGGTAAGCACGGTGAGCATTATCTGGTAAGCAGCCAGGTATTTAGAGTTTCGCCCGGTTCTATAGCTCTGGTTGGACCATTGAGGTATCTGCATAATGATGCATTTACATGGCACTATAACATTATATCCTCCTGAGAAAAACATGTTACGAAGAAAAAGATATCAAAAAAATATCTGTATTTACTTTTCTATTGTACAGTATGTGCACTGTAGTAGCCATTAGGACTTGGTTGATAGTAAATAGGACAAATATAACGTTATAGTAAAAGTGGCCAGTAAGTTAAAAACATAGTTAGCGTATCCATTACAGAGGACATTTATTAACTTGCTCTTATTAAGCTCTTATTTAATGTTAATGTGAAAAAAATGATTACACTGCTCTGAAAACTCACCAAACTATTCCGGAGATATTTACCTATTAGAAACAATTTGAATATCCAACTCACAAAATGTATAATTACACAATTACACACACTTACCATAAAATGTGAGAATTTTGATGTGAGCCATTTTGAAGAACCATAAAGACAAAGTGATCATGGTGCCACACCACATGTGATATCATTGAAAAGCCTAGAATGTCCTCGCAAAGGTAGAACTGGAACTAACAAAGTGGCATGGATGGCCTTAGAAATATAGACCAAAAACGAATGTCCATTAGAAAGGACAAAAATGAATTGCTCAGTCTCAGGAGGATTCTATGGCAGCCATGTTAGCGCCCCATTAACATTATATGTGGCATATTTAAATAATATATGTAACTGAATGTCTAGAATTAGAACAATACTCAAAATTCTAAAAGTTGGCTCAACTCTCAAAATACATGGCTCTGCTGACTACTATCAGATTTAACCACAAAGACCAGGGAGGATTTCCAATGCCTCACAAAGAAGGGCACCTATTGGTAGATGGGTATAAAAAAAAAGAAGCTGACATTGAATATCCCTTTAAGCATGGTGAAGTTATTAATTACACTTTGGTTTGTGTGTCAATATAGCCTGTCACTAAAAAGATACAAGGGTCCTTCCTAACTCAGTTGCCGGAGAGGAGGGAAACCGCTCAGAGATTTCACCATGAGACCAATGGTGACTTTAAAAGAGTTACAGAGTTTAATGGCTATGATAGGAGACAACTGAGGATGGATCAACAACATTGTAGTTACTACACAATACTAACCTAATTGACACAGTGAAAAGAAGGAAGCGGTACAGAATAAAAAATATTCCTAAATGTGCATCCTGTTTGCAACAAGGCACTAAAGTAATACTGCAAAAAATGTGGCAAAGCAATTAACATTTTGTCCTGAATACAAAGTGTTATGTTTAGGGCAAATCCAATACAACACATTACTTAGTACCATGCTCCATATTTTTTAAGCATAGTGGTGGCTGCATCATGTTATGGGTATGCTTGTAATCGTTAAGGACTGAGGAGTTTTTCAGGATAAAAAAGCACAGGCAAAATCCTAGAGAAAAACCTGGTTCAGTCTGCTTTCCACCAGACACTGGGAGATTCATTCACCTTTCAGCAGGACAATAACCTAAAACACAAGGCCAAATCTACACTGGAGTTGCTTACCAAGAAGACAGGTGTGGAAAGCTCTTAGACACGTACCTAGCAAGACTCAGAGCTGTAACAGCTGTCAAAAGTGATTTTCACATGTATTGACTCATGGGGGTTGAATAATAGTTTTTACAATTTGTCTTCCACTTTGACTTTACAGAGTATTTTGTATAGATCATTGACAAAAAATGGCAGTTAAAATCATTTTTATCCCACTTTGTAACACAACAAAATGTGGGAAAAGTCAAGGGGTGTGAATACTTTCTGAAGGCTCTGTATGCTAGCTACCTTTTTCCTCTCTCCCTCTGTCTCTCACACTCTCCAGCTTCCTTGTTCTATCTTTTTCTTTGTTCCCCCCCCGCCATTGGGCTTTCTTTTTCTCTTTCTCTTTCTTTTCCTGTTGTATTTGTGCAACTTGCTCTAATGCATGCCCTCCCTATCTCCTTATCGATTGGCCCTGCTTGCTCTTTGTGTGGTGAGTTCATTTCAATGGTTCACTGCTCATCTGAGCTGGATTCCTTATAGGAGCTGAGGCAATAATACACATGGAGAGAGAGTACATGGGTGTGTATTGTGTGTGTGTGTGTGTACATGCGTGTGCGTGTTTTCTTGTGCTTTTGTGTGCGTGTGCATGTGTGTGTGTGTGCGTGTGTTTGTGTCCGTATTTGTGTGAGTGTGTGTCCGTATTTGTGTGAGCGTGCTTGTGTGTACAAGCGCATACTGTATTTGCGTCCCTGTGTGCATGTGTGTGCTTAGGTTTGTGTGTGTGTTGTAGGGAAGTGTACGTGAGAGCATAGGAGCCAATCAACAAAGAGACTGACATCGCGGTCAATCGAACAATGCATTATGGGTTAAATTTCCTCTCCAATCCTGCCTCAAATAGTGAATTAGCTAGAAGTGAAATAAATGTCTTAAATTGTTGCTGCATCAATTTATTCATGCAGATTGTGGAGGTTGAGTAAAAATGTTGACTCTTTGTGTCCTAATTAGGAAGCTATGGGAGGGGGAAGGAGTGCTTAACTGTGCAGTTGTGCCAAGAAGTGCAGGCCTAAAAAATATGCCTAGTCCCCCCTCTCCCTCCCGTAAAACCTGCCAATGATGATATATAAGCAAAGAGAAAGAGCTTTGGAATATTTTTTCTGTTAAATATTTAATGATTTTGCCAATTTATATTCAGCTCACGCTCCATGGAGTACACATGCACTTGCACCGACACCCTGGTTTTTATGTTTCCTTGTTGTTATTTTTATTTATTTATATATTCCATTTACACTTTCTTTGAAAGGCCATTTTTTATGAGTAATTATGCCATTTGTTTGACAATGGGTTATGAAAGCTGTGTGCAATTTTATTAGGCTTACTGTAATGGAACAAGTCACTGTAGTTGCAACTTCACAGAGATCAGTAGTTGTAGTCTAAGCTTATTTTTGAAACTGTAAAAAAACATGTTCTAAAAAATGTCCTCTAGTTTAAGGCTGGATGTGAGTGTGAGTGGAGGTTGTCTGCCAGACATATCCCTTCTGGCGAGATGAGATTAGACCGAAAGTGTGTATGTGTGTGTGTGTCCACGTGCGTTTGCACACGTGCATGCGCATGTATGTGTCCTTGCCACTCCTTTGTGTACTGAGGCTTAATACCCACTCTCCCAGGTGGAAAGGCTATCAGGAACCCAGAGAGGATGACCTTCCTAATCAGCCCAGCTCAACCCTCCTCTCTGCCCACTGTGCCCAGAGCTCCTGCCAGTCCCATGCCCGTCTAGAGGCCACCCTCTGGGGGCAAATCTGCAGAGTAGAACCCACAATGCAATGTTTTCTCGAGACAGGCTGGCTGGCTAGGTATGTAGCTAGCTAGAAAGATGTAGCTACACACAATAATACCAAAGTCAATATCAGCATGCGAAGTAGTTAGTTAGCTGAAAAATCCCTGAAACAAACTGCACTATCAATTTAGGAGGTACACATTCACCATGTTCAACCTGGTAGAGATTGCATTTCTAGCTCAAAGCTGTGCAAGTCAGGTTGCTATGGCAATGTGCATGGAGGGAGATGAGAGGAGAAAACTGCTTTGTGCCATGGTAATTGAAGGAAGAAAGGATATTAATTTGATGGTGTACTTTGAAGACATTTGAACGAAATATATACTTTGTCGTGACGATATAGACAGATGGATGGGTTTTAGACAAGTATACCCATACCATCTATTGGCTTATTAGGCGATCTGGAGAGCAGGTAATTGTTTTAAAAGCGTTATGAAATGTGATAGTTTGTTATCCCCTATCTCCAGTGACGAGAACCTTATCATGATGACGTGTCATGTCACATTTCAATTTTAGGGTGGATTGCCCCTTTAAAGAAGGACAGCCAAAGGTCAACCGTCACTCTGGATGCAGAGCGGATAAAGAGAGAGAGAGAGAGAGAACATTGGGAGGTTGTTTTGAAAGGACATTACTTTCTGCTGTCTTCTCTAACTTATCTATCCCTCCATGACTTTATCCTTTCTTCTCTAACTTCCTTCACTCTCTCTATCTTTTTGGCTGAAGTTCATTCTATACCCTTTTCCTCACAGTGTGCACTTGTTCACTGTAGCTCTTGGATGGTACAGATAGAGTGGAAAGAAACTGTCTAGCCAAGGTTTACACTAATCCAATGATTGTAAATGAATGAGGATTTAAGTCTAAGGCTGCGTCACAGATAGAACAATGAGACAGATATTTCACCGGGATGTATAAATGTGAAGCTTCCGCTTTGTGTTTCCACTCACTACCAAATATGGTAGTGAGAGGAAGCCCAGTGGCTGGCAGTGGGAGAAGATGGAACGAGATGGATTTTGGCCGACATTCTGCAAATTTTCTCATCGATGAAACATTTGATCTCAATACAATTTTCTGTTCCTAAAACTAGAATATGTAATGAACAGAGTGGACTAAGTTGTGTAGACTTTACCCTTTTCCAACGTTTTTTTTTAAAATTGCATTGTTTATAAGGAGTGAAAAGGCGAATTGAGTTATTGCACAAACGCACTTCACAGATTAGGCATTCCGTAACGCGCCAATAGGATCTTGCTAGCTCGTGCTTGACTCTGCCCACCTCCTTGCTTGTTCTGCCCACTATGACTGATTTGTTCCCATTTTAAACTACGGGCTGTGGTCTATCTTGGTTTAGTTATAAAAAATATTTTTATAGTCTAGAATGGCTCCCTCCTCTAATCTCATCTCATCCTTATCTGCTCTGATCTGACATCATTGGGTAGAATAAGTAATACGGCAGAAAGTTATTTGGATATCAACTCTCACCTATTTGTGTTTTTAGATCTGTATAAACCAAGGAAAGGACCCAAGAGGAGGCCACTTGGGTCAAAGGGGGGTGAGTGTAGCCAATGTGGAATAGCTAGGTAGTTAACTGTGTGTGCGATAGACTAGCGTCCATCAGACGACAACACCCGCTCTGATCCCTAGAAGTAGTTGCTCTCCCATAGCATTTGTGGAGTGACAGGTAACGCCGCTTTGTGCGAAGTGTTGTTGGTAGCAGAAGGTTGCTAGTTCGCTTCTAGTGAGGGATGGACAAAATCTACTCTGTTACACATGCAGCCTAACTGGCCTGCTACACTAAATGTGAGTGTGAGATGCATAACTTTTGCAGAGCGCAAGGCGCTCCTAACTCATGTTAATTAAACCAGGGCGTAACCAGTGCGACTGTGCAGCTCCCCAGTAACTATTTCCCCATCTGTCTCTGTAGGTGAGGCCCATGACAAGGACATCCAGGTGGTAGAGTTACCCATCGTGGATAGCCTACACCCCCGCCCCCCCTACCTGCCCCTGTCCATCCCAGAAGACCTAGCCCAGCGCCTCCACCGTCTCCATGGTGACCCGTCTGTGTGGTGGGTGTCTCAGTTTGTAAAGTACCTGGTGCGTCCTCAGGCCTGGCTGGAGAAGGAGATTGCGGACACCACAGCCAAGCTGGGTTTCAAGCACCCCATCATAGGGTAGGTGGATGCATGCACGTACGCATTAACACACACACAAACACACACATACACACACACCACACACAGGACACCACGGTCAACCTGGGTCAAACTGGGTTTCAAACACCCCATCATTGGGTAGATAAATATGAGGAGGAGACACTTGAGTCTGTCTCTTTCGAGTTTTGGATTGTAGCGTCCTCTTTCTCTATCTCTTAGTGTATGTTTCTCTCTGTTAAAGTTGTCTAAAACTCTTTCTATATCTGCGTCATACTCCTCTCTGTTTCTCTTTCAAACTGTCTCAAACTATCTCCATCATACTCTCTCTGTGATTCTCTCTCTTCCATCGTTCTCTGTTTCTCTCTGTCTGACTTTCTTTCTTTTTGTCTGTCTGTCTGTCTGTCTGTCTTTCTGTCTTGTCCGTCTGTCTGTGTTTCTGTCTCTCTTTCTTTGTGTGTCAGTCTCTCGTTTCACCTATACTTCAATAGGCCCAGGGGAGCAACTTTGGTTTTAGAAGTGGGGGGGGGGGGCATAAAAATACCTACCCGACTGCTCGGAGGCGTCCGCATGGTCCTAAAGCACACTTTTTGTATCATATTCCAATGATAAAACTGGGGGACATGTCCCCCCCGTCCCCGGTGAAAGTTGCACGCCTGATTAGGCCTACTTATTTTTCAGTCTCTTCTGCTACTACCTTTTTCTTTCAACCCTCTTTCATTCTCCTCCGTTATGACTCTATGAATCATCCTCCTTTCTTTCCCAATCAAACTTTCTCTCTCTCTCATGTTTTCTGCACCTCTATCCTTTCTTTCACCCGCTCCTCTTTTTTGTCTTTATCTCCTTTATTTCGCTCACCTCTTTCTCTTTTTCCCCCGTATCACTTTCCCTATTTCCCACCATTGTCTCTCCCATATCTATCGCTTTGTCTTCTCCTCTCTCCTCTCCTCACCTGCTCCCTCCATTCTCTCCCCTCTGTCACTGGGGAGCCTATTGAAATGAAGAGCTGGTTAGAAATAAAGTTTTCTCCGCTCCTTTTCTCTTTCTGCTTCCATCTGATAATATAATAAAGTGTCGGGGTGAAGAAGAGGGGGAAAGAAGAGAGGGGGAGAGGAGAAATGGGTAGTGGAGCAGTTGGGGAGGATTGGGGTTTGGTTGGGGAAGAGGAGGATAGGGAATGGGGTGTGGGGGGGGGAGTATGAAAGCGAGAAGACAGAGAGAGAAAGAGAGAGAGCGAGAGAGAGTGAAAGGGGCTAGAGGAGGAAAGCGAGGGGGGCTTCGGAGGGGGAGGGAGTGTATGAGGTATCTCTGAGGACACGAGACGGCATGGGAGCAAGCCTTTGGCTCCCGTCTCCCTGCATCTCCACGCTCCTGTGAAGAGCAATGCCGCTGCAGCAGAGCCTCTACCCTCAGTAGGCCTGCAACACTCCAGACTAAAGCTCTAAAAGCAGCCGTCAGCACAACCCCAGTCCCAGCTCAGCATCTCACAAGCAGGGGAGACAGCCAGGGAGGAGGGGGAGTGGAGAAGGAGGGAGGGATGGATGGGGGGGATTGATTACTCACACGCCGTCTGGCACTAAGTGCCCAGGCACGGCCGCTTCGTCTGCCAAGGAACAGGCGGTGGGATGAAGGGAAGGAAAGAGAACGAGAGGAGGAAGAAAACAGGAGGATAGATGAAAGGAGAGAGAGAGCGGGAGAAAGAGAGACAGAGACCATGGCAGAGAGAAACGACTTGGAGAAGCAGAGAATGGAGCGGCTCGTAGTCAAGAGTCCCACTTATAATCAAAAGTCCCTTCAGATCAGATAGAGGGAGATGGAAAGAGAGAGCGAGAGAGCGGGGGAGTGAATATGAAGATATGAATAGTAAGAGAGAGAGAGTTAAAGGGACGTAGAGAAACAAAGATGTTCACTTTCAGCCTTACGTGCACCTGTAGAGAATCCCTCCCCCTCCCCCACTCTTTCCCATCACTCTCTCTCTCTTAATCCCTCGTTCCCTCTATTCTCTCTGATCCAGGAGTGTGTTAGGGTAAATAAAGGTATTTGTTGCTTCAGTGAGCATCCTGAGGACTGGGCTGACTGATCTCAGGCCAGTTCTGGTAATTAGACGCACTGTGTTTATTATCTCGTTCCTTCGATTTCTCATTCACTCTCTCTCTCTCGCTCTTCCTCTCTCTCTCTCGCTCGTATTCCCTTCGTCTCTACCTCTCTCTTTTCTTTATTCTCTCCCTCCAAATCATAGGCTGGCTTCGTTGTGTTATGAGGGATTAAAAAAAGAAAGCACTCACTTGCAGGGCTGGTCTATTAATCGTCCGTTCGCTTCTTTCTCCCATTCAAACCCCTTTTCTTTCTGCCTTTTCTGTCATTACTCCTACATTGTGCCACTGGCTCTCTCTCTCTCTCTCTCTCTCTCTCTCTCTCTCTCTCTCTCTCTCTCTCTCTGATTATGGGCAAGACAATATGTAGTAGCTGATAGTGAACGTATTTATTGAAAGTATTGCTCTCTCTCCCTCCTTCCACCCTCGTCTCTGTCCCTGTAGGGTCCATGTTCGGCGGACAGATAAGGTGGGGACGGAGGCTGCGTTCCACCCTATAGAGGAGTACATGGTTCACGTGGAGGAACAGTTCCAACACATGGCCCGACGTATCCACCTGGACAAGAAACGAGTCTACCTGGCAACAGATGACCCCTCACTACTGCAAGAGGCTAAGACCAAGTGAGTGACAACCAATACCCTTATAATGAAGCTTCGGTGTGTGTTTGTGGGGGGGTGATGGGGGTGTAGAATTAGTGTGTGTGTGCGTGTATGTCAGAATCAGAATCACCTTTATTCGCCAAGTACATTTACACATACTCAGAATTGTACTTGGTGATATGGTGCTGCTAGTGATAGACAACATTTAGAGACAGAATACAGAGAGAAGAGGCTAAACAAAGTTTCCATACATTATATACAACTAGGCAGAGTGAGCATAGAGCTATAAGAGAATGAGAAGATATACAAAAATACAGTGGGTATACGGTTGATATACAGTGGGTATACGGTTGATATACAGTGGGTATACGGTTGATATACAGTGGATGTACAAATTGACAGTATCAGTATGAATATGTCTAAATGCAGAGAGATGGACAGAGTATAATGCAGTATTGTGCAGTTATTTTGTGTACAGTTCAGAGATGGCTTGATGGGGTGTGCAGCATAGAGTCTCTATGGGCCAAATGGCCGGTTGGTGAGGGCCACAACCCAGAGGAGGGGGTGGGAGGGGTCTGCAATGATCTTTCCTGCACGCTTCCTTGCCCTGGAGTCGTGCAGAACCTCGATGGAGGGCAGGTGGCAACCAGTGACCCTCTCTGCAGACCGGACAATGCATTGCAGTTTGCCCTTGCAGCGGGCATACCCAAACCAGACCGTGATGGAGGAGGTGAGGATGGACTCAACGATTGATGCGTAAAACCGGATCAGGATTGACTGGGAGATTGTTTTCAGCTGCTGCAAGTAGTACATCTGCTGGTGTGCCTTCTTGGTGACCGCTGTGATGTTGTCCTCCCACTTGAGGTTGTGGGAGATGGTTCCCAGGAATTTCAATGATTCAGCCGTGCTAACAGCTGAGTCATCAATCTCGAGGGGGAGAGATGGTGGGGGGGCATTATCGGTCGACCTCTCCACGGTACATGGACTCATTGCCATCGGTGGGGGGGGGGGGGTTCCTGGGATGGCAGAAGGGTAGAGGAGAGAGGAGCCTGGAGAGGAATGGGGAAGGGGGGGTAGGGTAGGGTAAATGGGTGAGAGGGGGAAGTGGCAAGGAGGGGTAGGTGGAGGGGGGTATTGTCCTGATGATTGCGGGGCCTTCGTGAGTCAAATCTGCAGTAAAACTGATTTAGTTTATTCGGCAGTGAGGGGTAGTCTGCCGTCGGGGAGCTTTAGGTTTGTAGTTGGTAATGGTTTTCAGTCCTTTCCAGACAAATGAGCAGTAGTCGCTGCAGAACTGTTGCTCTAGCCTGTCTTTTGTACTGCTGTTTGGCTGCCCTAATTCCCGAGTGTATCTTTTTCTTGGTGTCTCTATAGAGGTCCCTGGTCTTGCTCCTGTGGTCTATTAATCGTGGTAAACACACGAGCAGCGACCAAAACACTGTGGCTGCCTCATTGGCCACCCCTGTGTGTGTGTGTGTGTGTGTGTGTGTGTGTGTGTGTGTGTGTGTGTGTGTGTGTGTGTGTGTGTGTGTGTGTGTGTGTGTGCGTGTGTATGATTGGCCGTGTCCGAAATCTGTGTGCAGTAAGCAACAGATATCAACATACTAGGCTCACCCATACTGAGAATGCGACATTTAATGCGCAATTGCGTTGTTTCCTGCCATTCGTTCATTTTGTTAGCGCAACCTCTTATCTAATTATCAGCCGATTATCAGTTGTTGTCAAACACACGCGGGTCTGAAAAGACGTCTCTCTTCCTCAATAGCGTGCAGCGAATTCTACTAGATGAAAAGCCTAAATGAGTATGACATCCTGGCATTCAAAGCATACTTAATTTTCTAAATTTCACATAAAACATTCAATTTTCCGCATACCCAAAATGCCTACTATTTAGAACGCAAGTACGGGTATTCGGACACAGCCATTGTGTTTTTGTTTGTATGTAGAAGCCCATATGGATAATGGTATGTGTTTCCTACAGGTACCCTGACTATGAGTTCATCAGTGATAACTCCATCTCGTGGTCGGCTGGTCTGCACAACCGCTATACAGAGAACTCTCTGAGAGGAGTGATCCTAGACATACACTTCCTGTCCCAGACCGACTTCCTGGTCTGCACATTCTCCTCACAGGTAGGGGTGCCATATCTCAAGGATTCTCAAAGTGGGGTGTCCGCAAGGTACTACAGGGTGTCCTCGGCCAGAGCAAAAAATATATATATACACTGCTCAAAAAAATAAAGGGAACACTAAAATAACACATCCTAGATCTGAATGAATGAAATAATCTTATTAAATACTTTTTTTCATTACATAGTTGAATGTGCTGACAACAAAATCACACAAAAATTATCAATGGAAATCAAATTTATCAACCCATGGAGGTCTGGATTTGGAGTCCATGCGCTGACCCTCAAAATTAAAGTGGAAAACCACACTACAGGCTGATCCAACTTTGATGTAATGTCCTTAAAACAAGTCAAAATGAGGCTCAGTAGTGTGTGTGGCCTCCACGTGCCTGTATGACCTCCCTACAACGCCTGGGCATGCTCCTGATGAGGTGGCGGATGGTCTCCTGAGGGATCTCCTGCCAGACCTGGACTAAAGCATCCGCCAACTCCTGGACAGTCTGTGGTGCAACGTGGCGTTGGTGGATGGAGCGAGACATGATGTCCCAGATGTGCTCAATTAGATTCAGGTCTGGGGAGCGGGCGGGCCAGTCCATAGCATCAATTCCTTCCTCTTGCAGGAACTGCTGACACACTCCAGCCACATGAGGTCTAGCATTGTCTTGCATTAGGAGGAACCCAGGGCCAACCGCACCAGCATATGGTCTCACAAGGGGTCTGAGGATCTCATCTTGGTACCTAATGGCAGTCAGGCTACCTCTGGCGAGCACATGGAGGGCTGTGCGGCCCCCCAAAGAAATGCCACCCCACACCATGACTGACCCACCGCCAAACCGGTCATGCTGGAGGATGTTGCAGGCAGCAGAACGTTCTCCACGGCGTCTCCAGACTGTCACGTCTGTCACATGGGCTCAGTGTGAACCTGCTTTCATCTGTGAAGAGCACAGGGCGCCAGTGGCGAATTTGCCAATCTTGGTGTTCTCTGGCAAATGCCAAACGTCCTGCACGTGTTGGGCTGTAAGCACAACCCCCACCTGTGGACGTCGGGCCCTCATACCACCCTCATGGAGTCTGTTTCTGACCGTTTGAGCAGACACATGCACATTTGTGGCCTGCTGGAGGTCATTTTGCAGGGCTCTGGCAGTGCTCCTCCTGCTCCTCCTTGCACAAAGGCGGAGGTAGCGGTCCTGCTGCTGGGTTGTTGCCCTCCTACGGCCTCCTCCACGTCTCCTGATGTACTGGCCTGTCTCCTGGTAGCGCCTCCATGCTCTGGACACTAGGCTGACAGACACAGCAAACCTTCTTGCCACAGCTCGCATTGATGTGCCATCCTGGATGAGCTGCACTACCTGAGCCACTTGTGTGGGTTGTAGACTCCGTCTCATGCTACCACTAGAGTGAAAGCACCGCCAGCATTCAAAAGTGACCAAAACATCAGCCAGGAAGCATAGGAACTGAGAAGTGGTCTGTGGTCACCACCTGCAGAACCATTCCTTTATTGGAGGTGTCTTGCTAATTGCCTATAATTTCCACCTGTTGTCTATTCCATTTGCACAACAGCATGTGAAATGTATTGTCAATCAGTGTTGCTTCCTAAGTGGACAGTTTGATTTCACAGAAGTGTGATTGACTTGGAGTTACATTGTGTTGTTTAAGTGTTCCCTTAATTGTTTTGAGCAATACACACACACATACACACACACACATACACACACACACATTTTTGAGCAATACACACACACATACACATATATTATTTTTATGAATATTACTAACAGCAACAGATTAAATGAATTATGGCCAAGGGATCTGTGGAATACATTTAAAGGGTGTAATACAATACAATGTAATATTATTAATGTACAATTTATATTCTTAATCCTGTGCAACATGGGCCTGGGAGGCGCACAGGGATATTGGTATCCTCAGTATTCCAACAATTATATATTTTTCAACTCAATACTTCTTGTATTCCCCAAAAATTATATATGTTTTTTTTTACATAAACGCACTGTAATTTAAGCTTTAAAACGGCAACGTTTTATCTCTGCCTCGTGGTAGAATGAGTAAAATCACAGGATATTATCTTTAAAGCTGCAACAACAAAACATCTATTTTTTATTCTGAATTGCAGGAAATTAGCTTGAAAACTGAATTTATTCTCTCTGATGCCATGAGGCTGGCCTTTAAAATGTTCCTTCCCAGGGCCCGAGACTTGGTTCATCCGGGCATGTACTGAAGTCATAGTAAAACTCCTTGTATTCTACTTTTATATAACTTGATTTGTGTTATGATTATTAGTGGGTCCCTGATGAATTTGCTTTTACAAAAGAGGTCCTCAGTCCCAAAAGGTTTGAGAAACCCTGCCATATTATTATTATTTTTTGTCATTTTAGCAGACGCTCTTATTCAGAACGACTTACAGTTAGTGAGTGCATACATTTTCATACTGGCCCCCTGTGGGAATCGAACCCACAACCCTGGCGTTGCAAACGCCATGCTCTACCAACTGAGCTACACGGGACTACACAACACCCGTTATGGGAATATACGGTACATTATTCACTGATCTATACGGTTACTAACCTGAATAGCCAACTCCTACTGTCATTGTCATGTTAAACAATGACCATAGGAGATGGCAAGACAACAAATAGATCTGGGACCAGGCAACTTTTTCATCTGAACAAATTTAAATAGCCACATAATGTACAGTGCATTCGGAAAGTATTCAGACCCCTTGACTATTTCTACATTTTGTTACGTTACTACCTTATTCTAAAATTGATTAAATCGTTTTTTTTCCCTCATCAATCTACACAAATTACCTCATAATGACAAAGCAAATGCAGTTGTTTTTTAAATGTTTGCAAATGTATTAAAAATCAATGTAAAAAAGCATTCAGACCCTTTAATCACTACTTTGTTGAAGCAGCTTTGGCAGCGATTACAGCCTCGAGTCTTCTTGGGTATGACGCTACAAGCTTGGCACACCTGTGTTTGGAGAGTTTCTCCCATTATTTTCTGCAGGTTTTCATCAATGATCTCTCTGTACTTTGCTCCATTCATCTTTCCCTCGATCCTGACTAGTCTCCCAGTCCCTGCCGCTGAAAAACATCCCCACAGCATGATGCTGTCACCACCATGCTTCACCGTAGAGATGGTGGCAGGTTTCCTCCAGACGTGAAGCTTTGCATTCAGGCCAAAGAGTTCGATCTTGGTTTCATCAGACCAGAGAATCTTGTTTCACATGGTCTGAGAGTCCTTTAGGTGCCTTTTGGCACACTCCATGCGGGCTGTCATGTGCCTTTTATTGAGGAATGGCTTCCGTCTGGCCACTCTACCATAAAGGCCTGATTGGTTGAGTGCTGCAGAGATGGTTGTCATTCTGGAAGGTTCTCCCATCTCCACAGAAGAGCTCTGGAGCTCTGTCAGAGTGACCATCGGGTTCTTGGTGTGGTCACCTCCCTGACCAAGGCCCTTCTCCCCCGATTGCTCAGTTTGGCCAGGCGGCCAGCTCTACGAAGTGTCTTGGTGATTCCAAACTTCTTCCATTTAAGAATGATGGAGGCCACTGTGTTCTTGGGGACATTCAATGCTGAAGAAATGTTTGGTACCCTTCCCCAGATCTGTGCCTCGACACAATCCTGTCTCAGAGCTCTACGGACAATTCCTTCGACCTCATGGCTTGGTTTTTGCTCTGACATGCACTGTCAACTGTGGGACCTTTTATAGACAGGTGTGTGCCTTTCCAAATCATGCCAAATCAATTTAATTTACCACAGTTGGACTCCAATCAAGTTGTAGAAACATTTCAAGGATGATCAATGGAAATAGGATTCACCTGAGCTCAATTTCAAGTCTCATAGCAAAGGGTCTGAATACTTATTTAAAATAGTTTTTTTTTTTTTTTTTTTTTGCAAACATTTCTACAAACCTGTTTGTGCTTTGTCATTATGAGGTATTGTGTGTAGGTTGATGAGGGGAACATTTTATCCAATCCATTTTAGAATAAGGCTGTAACGTAACAAAATATGGAAAAATTCAAGGGCTCTGAATACTTTCCGAATGTACTGTACTTCCATTCATTTCTGTAAACTGGTACAAGGGGACATTCAGGCGAGTCTTGTGAGCGTCCTAGAGCAAATCAACCAACATTTACATTTTAGTAATTTAGCAGACGCTCTTATCCAGAGCGACTTACAGTTAGTGAGTGCATACATTTTTCATACTGGCCCCCCGTGGGAATCGAAACCACAACCCTGGCGTTGCAAGTGCCATGCTCTACCAACTAAGCTACAGGAGGCCTATATTGTATTTGTTCGTGAGGGTCTCACCTTTCCACAGAGGGGTCATATTAGTGGCCCAAACTGTTCAGACGCTACAGACAGAAATTGTCAGATCGGCTGTACGGAGAACATGTTCGTGAGAGTCTCATCTTTCCATAGAGTTTCTAGGCCAAACCGTTCAGACGCTACAGACAATTTTGTGAGAAGACCGATTTTCAGGATGTCTCATGGTCTGACAAACACCGCTCTAGATCTGTCACCTTTCACCACAGATGTGGAAGTGCGACATACGTGGATGCAGTGGATTGAGACACCTCCAGTGCAAAAAACCCCAGATACAGTGGGGAGAACAAGTATTTGATACACTGACGATTTTGCAGGTTTTCCTACTTACAAAGCATGTAGAGGTCTGTAAAAAAATCCAGAAAATCACATTGTGTGATTTTTAAGTAATTAATTTGCATTTTATTGCATGACATAAGTATTTGATACATCAGAAAAGCCGACCCATCTTCAATGCTCTTACTGAGGGAAGGAGGTTGTTGGCCAAGATCTCGCGATACATGGCCCCTTCCATCCTCCCCTCAATACGGTGCAGTCGTCCTGTCCCCTTTACAGAAAAGCATCCCCAAAGAATGATTTTTCCACCTCCATGCTTCACGGTTGGGATGGTGTTCTTGGGGTTGTACTCATCCTTCTTCTTCCTCCAAACACGGCGAGTGGAGTTTAGACCAAAAAGCTCTATTCTTGTCTCATCAGACCACATGACCTTCTCCCATTCCTCCTCTGGATCATCCAGATGGTCATTGGCAAACTTCAGACATGCCTGGACATGCGCTGGCTTGAGCAGGGGGACCTTGCGTGCGCTGCAGGATTTTAATCCATGACGGCGTAGTGTGTTACTAATGGTTTTCTTTGAGACTGTGGTCCCAGCTCTCTTCAGGTCATTGACCAGGTCCTGCCGTGTAGTTCTGGGCTGATCCCTCACCTTCCTCATGATCATTGATGCCCCACGAGGTGAGATCTTGCATGGAGCCCCAGACTGAGGGTGATTGACTGTCATCTTGAACTTCTTCCATTTTCTAATAATTGTGCCAACAGTTGTTGCCTTCTCACCAAGCTGCTTGCCTATTGTATTGTAGCCCATCCCAGCCGTGTGCAGGTCTACAATTTTAACCCTGATGTCCTTACACAGCTCTCTGGTCTTGGCCATTGTGGAGAGGTTGGAGTCTGTTTGATTGAGTGTGTGGACAGGTGTCTTTTATACAGGTAACAAGTTCAAACAGGTGCAGTTAATACAGGTAATGAGTGGAGAACAGGAGGGCTTCTTAAATAAAAACTAACAGGTCTGTGAGAGCCGAAATTCTTACTGGTTGGTAGGTGATCAAATACTTATGTCATGCAATAAAATGCAAATGAATTACTTAAAAATCATACAATGTGATTTTCTGGATTTTTGATTCTGTCTCTCACAGTTGAGGTGTACCTATGATAACAATTACAGACCTCTACATGCTTTGTAAGTAGGAAAACCTGCAAAATCGGCAGTGTATCAAATACTTGTTCTCCCCACTGTATCTCTAGCTTAAACTGACAGATTTTCATGAGAATGTATGTATTATGCTAATTAGATTTCCGCAGGGGCACGGACATCGACCTTAGGGGTTTAAACTCTGTAACTGTTTTAAAGTTACCATGGGCCTCATGATGAAATCACTGAGCGGTTTCCTTCCTCTCCGGCAACTGAGTTAGGAAGGATGCCTGTATCTTTGTAGTTACTGGGTGTATTTCAAAGGGATATTCAATGTCTACTTTTTATTTTAATTTTACCCATCTACCAATAGGTGCCCTTTTTTTGCAAGGCATTGGAAAACCTCCCAGTTTTTTTGGGTTGAATCTGTGGTGAAATTCACTGCTCGACTGAGGGAACCATGAAGATAATTATATTTGTGGGGTACAGAGATGAGGTAGTCATTCATAAATCATGTTAAACACTATTATTGCATACAGAGTGAGCCCATGCAACTTGTTATGTGACTTGTTAAGCAAATGTTTACAACTAAATTTATTTAGGCTTGCCATACCAAAGGGGTTGAATACTTATTGACTCAAGACATTTCAGCTTTTCATTTTAAATTAATTTCAAACAATTTCTAAAAACTTAAATCCACTTTGATTTGATGGGGTGTTGTGTAGGCCAGTGACACAAAACCTCAATTTAATCCATTTTAAATTCAGGCTGTAAAAAGTGAAGGGGTGTGAATAATTTCTGAAGGCACTGTATCTCTAATTCCTGTTTCCTGTATATCTACTTCCTGTTTTCCATATCTCTACTTCCTGTTTATACTTCCTGTATCTCTACTTTCTGGTTCCAGGTGTGCCGCGTGGCCTACGAGATCATGCAGACGCTGCACCCGGATGCTTCCTCTTTCTTCCACTCGCTAGACGACATCTACTACTTCGGGGGCCAGAACGCCCACAACCAGATCGCCATCTACCCCCACCACCCCCGCAGCCCTGAAGACATACCCCTGGAGCCCGGTGACATCATCGGCGTAGCGGGGAACCACTGGGACGGCTACTCGAAAGGGGTCAACCGTAAAATGGGCCGCACCGGCCTCTACCCGTCCTACAAAGTCAAGGAGAAGATCGAGACCGTGAAGTACCCCACGTACCCCGAGGCGGACAAGCTGCTCTCAAACTCCCAACGGAAGTGAAGAAGAAAGGGAAGGAGGAAAATAAAAATAGAGAAAGAGACTCGGAATCAGTGAGAGAACAGGGGGAAAGGGGGAAAGAGATGGTAGTGTTCAGGCTGCACTGAGAGTCTGTGTGTGTGTGTGTGTGTGTGTGTGTGTGTGTGTGTGTGTGTTTGTGTGTGTGTTTGTGTGTGTGTGTGTGTGTGTGTGTGTGTGTGTGTGTGTGTGTGTGTGTGTGTGTGTGTGTGTGTGTGTGTGTGTGTGTGTGTGTGTGTGTGTTTGTGTGTGTGTGTGTGTGTGTGTGTATGTGTGTGTGTATATGTGTGTGTGGATCTATAAATTATGGAATCTTGCAGCTGCCACTACACCGTCCCCGTGCACACAGATTATGAAGAGAAGTATCAATCAAACATTGATTTCAAACGAACCTGAAAACAATTAAAGGCCCGTAGCCGACAACGCGGACTGGGAATGGAACTAGCCAATCGGGTCGAGCCTTGGATCGAGGGCTGAAAAACAATTATAAAAAAAAAAAAAAAACTTGTTTTCATTTTTATTCAATTATTTTGGTGGTTTTAATTCTATTCTTGCCTTATTTTTTCTCTCCTGTGTTCATTAAATGTACTGTATCTTTTGCCATATTCACTCACTGCGTTCCTCCCTCTCCTTTCGCTCCAATAGCACTGTCCTACATCTCGTCTCCTCATGTGCAATTCCTTTTATACCACCTTAATGTGCTTTTTAACAAGTGATTTTAATGGTCTTAACTTTGTGTGTCAGGGGCTTGTGCATTGTACTGTATATGATGTGTGCGTCGGGGGATGTGAAAGGTTATGAGAGATGCTGTATGTGTGTGTGTGCGCGTGCGTGTGTGCGTTTGTGTGTGTCTGTTTAGGGGGCATGACATGGTGCCTGTCATCAGTGAGCGGCATTCTTATGTCCTTATTCCTGACTGAATAGTTGTGTTGTGCTCAATGAGACTGGTGGTGACAGTTGGACCCTTAGCAGGCACTTACAACAATGAACAGTGCACTATGGTGACCAATAGTGAAGATTGATGATGGTGAACAATGTTGATCTATGTTGAACAATAATACTCTATGGTGACCTATGATGACCTATAATGACCTACGGTGAAGTACGGTGCACACAGGAGCCCTCTTCAGGCTCACCAAACAAAGCACTCCACTGAGCTGATGTCCTTTTGACATCTCTACGTCCGTTCTGTCCATCTGTTTGTTTGTTGTAGTTTTTTTACTAACATTACTGTTTAAAATATATGAGGGGAAAAAAAGAGATGTCTATGTTGAAATTGATAATGCTATGTCATAAGAGGTTTGTAACCGTGATGAAGAACTTTGTCATAGCTTATGTTCTGGGGGCATTTTCTTTGATAACAACCACTGATCGAATAAACTTGAGAAACCAAGTGGCACTTGTGTTGTCCCACTTATGTTGTCTCACTCCATCTACATAAAAAGGATTCCGAAATGATTCCACCTCTACCCTCAAAACTCCTTATGAATTATGTTGAATAAATGTGTTATGAAGGTTGTTATGGATGATACTGCTACTCCCACAAAGGTTGATATGAATTGTTCAATGTGAACCTACCAGGAATGTCAATGTACCAAATCAAGATGGCCTCCTAGTCAGGTGACTTCTCAGGTGACCATCAGCTGACCAGTTACCTGACCAAACAGCCATCAGAGGACTTCATCCAGTATGTGTTCATGACATGAGTGTTACGAATGCCTTAACCCTTCAAGTACAGAGTCATCCCTTTTCCTTTAGAAGAAAGGGTCCAGCCAGGGCCAAATATGTAGAGAGTTGGGACTATGCAGTTTCTGTCTGAACATTCCGAGAGCGCTACATTCTCCTCTGCAGCCATTGCTTAGTGATAATTGACGCTTCCGTGTTGTGCTGTTTATTCTGAAAGTTTTCTAAACCAATGAAGATGTCCATTTGTTGACACCACAGGAATATATATAAACACAGCACAGACTTGGATACACATGATCCTGAATGCTAATCAATAAAAACGTCTGTTCAATTCGCTGCTCTGTTTTGCTTGTTTACAGTGAGTCATTTTATAGGGAACTGTCGGAGGCGCTCTCCTATTGTTACATCACCAAAATGTTGAGAATAAAAGCAATAACATGGCGTCTGTTCTAGAAGTTGTCCAGACTCTCTAAATATATGGCTCTGGGTCTAGCCCAGGGCTCGAATTTCCCGGCGGCACCGACGGCCATGGCTGTAAATGCGTGTGTGTGTGATTTTGTACGTTTGCCCACTGACAAAGACATGATCAGTCTATAATTTTAGTGGTAGGTTTATTTTAACAGTGAGAGACAGAATAACAACAAAATAATCCAGAAGTACGCATGTCAAAAATGTTATGAATTGATTTGCATTTTAACGAGGGAAATAAGTAAGACAATGACCCAACACAGCCTGGAGGTGTGTTGGGTCATTGTCCTGTTGAAAAACAAATGATAGTCCCACTAAGCGCAAACCAGATGGGATGGCGTATCGCTGCAGAATGCTGTGGTAGCCATGCTGGTTAAGTGTGCCTTGAATTCTAAATAAACCACTGACAGTGTCACCAGCAAACCACACATGCGGAGATCATCCGTTCACCTACTCTGCGTGTCACAAAGACACGGCGGTTGGAACCAAAAATCTCAAATTTGGACTCATCAGACTAAAGGACAGATTTCCACCCGTCTAATGTCCATTGCTCATGTTTCTTGGCCCAAGCAGGTCTCTTCTTCTTATTGGTGTCCTTTAGTAGTGGTTTCTTTGCAGCAATTCGACCATGAAGGCCTGATTCATGCCATTTCTGAGGCTGGTAACTCTAATGAACCCCCCTACCATGTCACAACACAACTTAAACTCATTAAGAAGGAAAGAAATTCAACAAATTAACTTTTAACAAGGCACACCTATTAATTGAAATGCATTCCAGGTGACTACTTCATGAAGCTGGTTGAGAGAATGTCAAGCTGTCATCAAGGCAAATGGTGGCTACTTTGAAAAATCTCAAATATAAAATATATTTTGATTTGTTTAACACTTTTTTGGTTACTACATGATTCCATATGTGTTATTTCATAGTTTTGATGACTTCACTATTATTCTACAATGTAGAAAATAGTACAAATAAAGAAAAATCCTTGAATGAGTAGGTGTGTCCAAACTTTTGACTGGTACTGTATATATATGTAATTAAAAGTCTAATTAAAGTTTGGCTACATTTTCAGGCACCTCATGTCAGCATCTGTCTGGACATGACAGGCTGTAGTCAATGCTCGTAGGCTATCACCTAGACTTCGACATGTAGCCAAATTATTTATGTACATTTACATAGACCTATGTTTTTCTTAACAGAATAGCTACAGTTTTTCGGTTCTCAAATCTATTTAATTGGCTATTTTGGTTAATGGCCTTGGTGCCCTAGCAGATGGCCTTGTTGCCCTGGCAGATTGGGCACCTCTTGAAAGCCAAATGGCCTTGCCCCTAAAATCAAAAAATTTCACCTCGTTGACTCTCCTCAGGACTTTGAACGGCCCCACAAACCACGGGCTCAGCTTCCGGCAGGGCAGGCGGCGGGGCAGATTCCGGGTCAAGAGCCAGACCCGATCGCCCGGTACAAAGACGGGGGCCTCACTGTGGTGGTGGTCAGCGTTGGCCTTCTGACGACGCACGTCGCGTTGGAGGTGAACGTGGGCAGCATCCCACGTCTCCTCCGCGCGCCGAAACCAGTCATCCACCGCAGGAGCCTTGGTCTGGCTCTGGTGCCACGGTGCCAGAACCGGTTGATAACCTAGAACACACTGAAAAGGCGTTAGGTTAGTGGAGGAGTGGCAGATAGAGTTCTGGGCATATTCTGCCCATGGCAAGAACACTGACCACTCCCCCGGCCGGTCCTGGCAGTAGGACCGCAGGAACCTACCCACGTCCTGATTTACCCGTTCCATCTGCCCATTACTCTCAGGGTGGAACCCAGAGGTCAGGCTGACCGAGACACCCAGACATTCCATGAATGCCTTCCAGACCTTGGACGTGAACTGGGGACCTCGGTCAGACACTATATCCTCTGGTACCCAGTAGTGCCGGAAGACGTGAGTAAACAGGGCCTCCGCAGTCTGAAGGGCCGTGGGGTGACCGGGCAAAGGAAGGAGGCAGCAGGACTTTGAGAAGCGGTCCACAATGACCAGGATGGCGGTGTTACCTAGGGAGAGGGGAAGATCAGTCAGAAAATCAATGCTAAGGTGAGACCATGGTCATTGTGGAACTGGTAACGGTTGTAGCTTACCTGCTGGGAGGTGCCTAGGTGCCTTACTCTGGGCGCACACCGAGCAGGAGGAGACGTACACCCTCACGTCCTTAGCTAAGGTAGGCCGCCAGTACTTTCCGCTCAGGCAGCGCACTGTACGACCGATACCTGGGTGACCAGAGGAGGGTGACGTGTGTGCCCAGAAGATCAGATGATCACGGATAAGAGCAGGTACGTACTGCAGCCCAGCTGGACACTGCGGTGGAGATGGAACTGTGCGTAATGCCTGCTCTATATCCGCGTCCATCGCCCATACTACCGGCGCCACAATGCGGGAGGCCGGGAGTATGGGGGTGTTGTCTCTGGGCCTCTCCTCTGTGTCATACAGCCAGGACAGTGCGTCTGCCTTCACGTTCATCTATGACAATGTAAAATCAAACCGGGTGAAGAATAGGGCCCACCTGGCCTGGCGAGGATTCAGCCTCATCGCTGCCCGAATGTACTCCAGGTTACGGTGGTCCGTCCAGACAAGGAAAGGGTGTTTCGCCCCTTCGAGCCAATGCCTCCACACAGTCAAAGCTCGGACAACAGCCAGCAGCTCCCGATCACCAACGTCGTAGTTCTGCTCCGCCGGGCTGAGCTTCTTCGAGAAGACGGCACAGGGGCGGAGCTTAGGTGGCGTGCCCGAGCGTTGGGATAGGACAGCGCCCATCCCTAACTCGGACGCATCCACCTCCACTAC